TGCAAATACTCTTCTGGGAAAATATATCTGATAAAAATATAATCCCTAAAGGTTGATCTTTACTTACCTGTAACATTCTTTGAAGTAACATGCTCACCCATGTCATGAGTGCCTGGTTGTATCTGCTTTTCATGATAGAAAATGAAAAATCAGGAGTGAAAGTTGGGCAGTCCAGATCAGAAGCTTTTCTGGGTCTGCAACAGAGATGTAAGTCTGAATTGTTCAGGGTTTCCAGCTCCACTTTCTCTCTGTCATTTGTCCCACAGGACAATTCTTATTACCACATAATTGTTGAGATTCTGTTTGCACCTGGCATGTAGTGAACTGCTCTTAATGTTGCATTTCATGTACGAATTAAAAAAAAAAGCTGGCAAAGATGATGAAAGGCCTTCCTTTACAGGAGTGGTTATGAACATTAAGCTTGCTTTTATTATGAAAGATAAGGGTGCAGCAGTTCCTAAGGTTTTAGAATGGTGTAGACAGCAAGGAATAAAATGAAAAATGGACCATTTTAATGGAAGAAATGCACCTACTGTTTGCTGCAGCCTTTGAGATATTCAAAAAGTACTAAACATTACAACATACAAATAATAGTCAGGGAGATTGGGGCAGAACTTCTTTAACTTCATACTACTTTACTGATAAATTTTGTTTGTACCCATTCTCTTCCTTCAAGGTTATTCTTAATTACCGGTGTGGTAATACATGGGAATATTTTGCAATGCTAAAGCACTTAAAGATAAGTATGTATATTTTGATTTGTTTGAATGAAGTGATGTCTACGACAGATACAACAAAGAATTTCTATTCTGAGATCAGACATATTCAAGACAACAAAACTTGGATTTAGAAGTGCACAAACCGTTTCCCTTCATCAGGCTAAGCAAAGTAGGTCTGTGAGGAAGCTAATTCATGTCGTGTATATAAAGCAAGTCAAATTCCAGCTACTACAAAGCTTTTATGTAAGACTTTGCTGACCTAATAGGTGGTGGAATATAAATAGATCAACACTACACCCTTCCTTCTGCTGTTCTACCTAATCCTTCCTTGCCTTCAGGATTGAAGAGTATTTGATCTATTGAGTCTTAAATCAGACATTGTTTCCTACCAAAAAAAAATAATCCAGGAGAATGAAAATTCAATGGTGTAAGAGTGTTCTTGTGATTTTAGAATGAGAAGCTGAATTAGGAATATACTACTGTTCTTCCTTTTTTTTTTTTTCCTCATATATATTAACTTCACAAAGCTGTAACTGCCTGGCTCTCTACTTGCTCTCCTTAGCTACCCCTGCCAGGTGGCTTGATGTGAGCCTCTTCAAAAAGAGTAATTGTGTTAAACCTATATTAATTTATTTTCTCCTATTCAATAATACTTAAAATGCCCTCTTCATCCTGCCTGCAGGTCTCCACTGCTGCTCAGAAGATGGAGCACTTTTTATTTTTAGTAACAATATCTCTCACGCTGGGATGGAAGAATCTTAAACCAATTAAACACATTAGAAGATAAGTGTGTGTGGGTTTGGTTCAAGATCTCCATTTTCTTCACTCTGGGGTATGTCCTAGTACCAGCCTTTCTATCCAAGATGACAGAAATAGTGTGATAAGCTGCTAACTAGGTAAGCAGTACAGCTGCTGCTTTGTCAGGTATTCCCTTGCCAAAAAATCACTTGTGATGGGTTTTGCCTCTTTTTTTTTTTTTATTCCGTTACAATTAAGTTTTATAAATGATCTCAATTTTGACTTAGGGAATTTTTTTCAGATGCTTTTTTTTTTTAACATTTATTTTTTCAAAAGAATGAATCTCTTGAATGTGAAGTGTGTTTTCCAATAGAATTGTTGGGGGGGGTGCACGTGCACTTTTAAGATTTGATGATTTGTTCTTCCCTTTTAATGATGCTTAGTTACTGGGAAAAAACTTGCAACTGGCTAGAGTATTCTGATGCCTTAAAATATGTCTGGATCCACATGTTTTAACTGTGTGTATACACTCTGAAGAGCATTGATTTCATTTTTTTATTTGCAGAAGTTGGAAAAGCATGTCCTGAACCTCCACAGGCATCTTTCTAGACCAGAAAGCCTTTGACTATGCTGACACTAAACCTTTATTCATTTGATATGGAATTTGCATGGGTTAGAAATGGCCAGATTGTTTAAATACAAGATATTTTGTCAGAACTGTGGCATGTGTTGCTGACCTGCATGCTCTCAGCAGCAGGGGTATAGCCTTGAGCTTTTTATTTGTTCTTCATCTTTAATTTGATAGTCAGAATACAAAGCACAAGGCAGGCTGTCCTGCATGGATTTACTCTTACAGTGAAACATCAATACAGAATAAAGACTCATAGCACTTTATAGAAGTCTAACACCCCAAATGTTAACATATCTAGCATTGTTCAGCATGGCAACGTAACTTTTATCATTTCTCTTAGACTGGATTGAGATATAAATCCTTACAGGGAGGAGCGACAGAGGTCAGTAGTCTACAGAAGTGTTTTCTCTCACCACAACTAGTAGGTCACTATCACTCTGTAACTATGTATTTCGAGTAAGGATAATAATTAAGCTGTGAGGATACATATACTCTTTGAAGGGCACTTCTAATGTAACACTTTTGAAAATGGTAAATGTGATTTCAGATACTCCAAAAATTGATAGGGGAAGAGGGACAGGAAGGTAAGGCAAGGCAAGGAAGAAGGAAGATAGTCCATTGGAGTACTGGTATAGCACTTCGGAGACTGGGTCAGTTCCTGTGCAATGCTGGGTTTGCTGTTCTGGTTAGTGTTTCCTCTCCAGTTCAGAGGAACTTGTCTGCTGCTCAGTGTGGCACTACACAGCCTATGGCCAGACCTGTGAGCTCGTAACTCCCACTGATATTGATAGTGAACAAATAGCAAGTAAATACTTCTGAATGGGATCATTTTTTAAAAGTAATAGAGGTTTTTGATAATGAAGTGCCTAATTTACTGAATTACTGCACAGCTAATAGTCAAGAGTGTTCACATGCAGGGTGTTGTGAAGATAAATGAATTTGTCAGTGAGATGCTCAGATTGTCTCATTTGTTATTTTTCCCTCATACATGGCATTTGATAGATTGCACGCTGCTTTCTATGCAAATAGCTCCATCCTGGCTAGTTTGTATGTTTGTCTGTGGGAAGATGTATCTAAAAATGGTGGATTTTTTTTTTGGACATTTTAAATTATGGTTGAGGCAGTTCCATCCTGCGGATTGCCTTGGCTGGGGACTTCGAGTTTTCCAGCCAGCACCGCATGAAGTGCCCAGCCCTGCTGCAGGTTCTTCTTGCCATGCCGCTGCTCATTTTATCTCCCTGACTTGCCTGCCTACAGCCTCTATCTCCCTTGGTTTGGGAGAGATCTCCACTTTCCAGCTTTCTGCCAGAATATGGAGGTGACATATGGGGCCCTCTGAGGATGATGCTTTCTGGCTTCTCCTTTCACTCCTGCCTTAATCCCAGAACAAGTAGTAGATACTATGTGGTTTAGAACAAGTCCAGAAGGACAGGAGCAGTCTGCCCTATGCTGCCTCTTCCTGCTCTCCAAATTGTTGCTAAGTTTTGGAAACCGTAAGGCCACACATGTGTAAGCAGACTCTGTGCATGCATTCCCACCTTTCTCCTCCCCCTTGTCCTTCCAGTGGGACGTGGAAAGTCTGGCCAGCCTTCAGGAAGGGAAAAGCTCCTTGCATCTGCCCTTAAGCAGCCTTCATCCCTTCCCTCCTCCACACACGTCATTTTAAAACAAATGGTACCCTGTAATGCAAAATTTGCTAAAGCATCTGTTTCTTCCCTGGAGCTCTGGAAAAATTTGATCAATGTGATGAGTTTGTGTGAGTCTGCCTGGAAATCTGCGTATGTTAGAGGATGAATTCAATATGCGTGTCTCTGACAGCTCCTATTTATACCTACGTCAAGGTCCATATTGTCCCTCTTGTGTTACTCCACCTCTCCAGTCAGTTCCTTGAGCAGTTGGTCTCTCCCCTTCTCCCAGATAGTTTCCAGTCTCTTGTCTAGGAAGCCCTGAGTACGAAGAGTGCACTACCATAAACCAGCAAAAGGAAACACCTGGAAAGACATTGGTTTGCGTGGCCTTATCTCAGAGATCCTGCTCTATACAGCCAGCTTGTGTTTATGCCGGTGACTCCTTGGAGCCACCCTGAGGAGCCATGGAGCAGGAGGTTGCTGCAGAACCTTGGGCTTACTGACAGCTGTATCCCTGTTCAAAATGGCATCGGGCAGGTGTGCAGGCTCCTTGTTCTGATGGGTTGGTGTCTGAATTATTTTACGGGAGAGATGTTTCAAAGGGTTGCTTAATATCATTATTAAGTGTCCCTTTGAAAAACATGAGTGTTTCGTACTTGCCTATAACTAATTCACTGATCTGGGCTTTTTGAAAGCTGGCAAAGCCTCACTTGCTGAGAGTGAAAAGAGAGGATCTCTCTTTGCTTAGCACTCAGCAGCTGAAGAATTCCCGTGAGTGGCAGTTACCAGGTCAACAGCAATAGAACAACCCTTGATATTAATATTTTGTAAACTAGGAAAACAAGCTCTATCAGGTGTTATTCTTTTTCTAATGTTATATAGGAAGCATTTCTTTTTTCTAGCATTTTTCAAATGCTGGAGAACAGCAATTGTTTGTGTAGAATGATCTGTTATTGTTAGCAATGTTCTTGCTTCTCTGCAGCACAGTGACATTGCCTTTATCCTTTAGAAGCAATGGAAAATGATAAATGAGGTTAACAAGCTTCAGTCTAAAGTGAAAACTAAATCTCTAGCTATACAAGTCTTGTTGCATTCATTCTGGTCAAGGGTTGGTTTGTTCATTTATTTTCTGGGAAAAAGCATCTCTTTTCCTTGGCGTCCTGATGATCGGAAAACATGATTGAAACTCAGTTGGAGTAGCCTGTTTCGGGGCTTAGGAAAGAAAAGTAGGCACAGCATTTAGGGATGTGCTTATTTTCCTTAATCGCTTCCCAATCAGAAATTGGATGAACCTTCGGGATGCAGAAACAGGGAAAATCCTCTGGCAAGGAACAGAAGATCTATCTGTACCTGGAGTGGAGCATGAAGGTACTGTGTGGCCTTTCTGTGCATTTTGGGGCTGGGTGGTGACATATGTCTGGGTCACCAGAGCTGCGAGCATACCCCTGCTGTGAAGGATGGATGTCCTGGCTGTGACTTCACACTCTCAGAGGCTTCCACCACAATAACCTGGGGACATGTGGAGAAGGGTGGGAGTGGATCAGTGGCTGGCAAAGGGGACAAGTTAAACAGTCCTAAGTAGAGAGCTCAGCTGAGTAAGGAATAAGCGGCCAACCTTTGCTAGGTTGAGTGTTGGTTCCAAAATGAAAAGTACAAAAAAAAATTGACTTTTCTCATTATAAAGACAGGGTTTAGTCAAGATAGAGGTCAAATGGAGAACCAGCAGGGAAGAAGCATACACAGTTATTACCTTCCCTGGCCACAACTGTCCTAATATTCTCCTGCACTAAATTTGACCTCTGCTTCAAAATGGCATACATGACACATGCGCTCTGCTCTCCTGTCCTCTACCATTGCTAGGAAGGCCTGTTGCCCTTCCGCTTCTGTCCCGGCTGAGTAGCAGAGGACTTCACTGTCCCTTACTCTTTACCATTTGTGACAAAGCACTGTGGTAGGTCACGTCCCTTGCCAAGACCTTTGTTTTGGCTCTGAAAAGTCTGACCTCACTGAATAAATTTTGAAGGCTTTTCTATCCTATGAGTACCACAGCTGATCTCCAGTAAGTGGAGTGAATTTGATCATTATGCTGGTGACATTGATGTATTTTTGGTTAAACATCAAGGACTGAGTTTTGCCTGCCACTACTAAGACTTACCTCTCCCATTAACTGGAAAATTTGTTGTGTCTGAAGGACGCAACCAGCATATAAAGATCCTCCTCTGCCCAGAAAGCCTACAGAAGATCAGTGGCAAAACACTGTGAGTCCAGTAGACATCTAGTAATATACCTGGTTTCAAAGCCAGCTAAAGGCACAAGAGAAACAAGTTGCCTTCTCCTCATTTGGTCCCCAGTCAATATTCATCTGCTTTATGACAAAAGTTCATTAATAGGGCCAGTAGTAGGTTGTCTCAGCTTAAGAGGGGCCTGATGCCAGGAATAGAGGATGCAGGTTAGAGCTAGGGGAAAGCAAAGCTGTGACTCAGTGATTACGAAGAGCATTTTCCAAGCTTTGTCTCCTTCAGCCTTGCTAACTTGTGCTCCCATTCTCATACCAGTGCTAACGGCAAACAGTTCGGCCAATAGTTCTTAACAGATATTTACTCATGTTTATCGTACAAGATAACTATATTAAAGAAAAACATTCCAGCACCTTCATATACAACTGTAGAAAAGCAATTGAAATACAACTTTCAAAAGAAATGTGGTAATTCATCAGTTTAATACTGTATTTCTTAAACTGTGGGTTAGTGATGCTTCGCCTTCTCCTGTAACAGGAAACCTAGGAGAAATGAGGAATCAGACTTAGAAACCAGAGGAAAATCAGCTAAAAATATTCCCAATCTTCCCAGATTTTGTGCTTTAAAAGCTTCTCCTTGGACACATGGCTAGTCTTTGAATCCTCATCACTCTGTCTTAGCAGACTGTTGCGCTGCTGTGGTTCGATGCACACCACAGAAAGGTATGCTTTGGGGAGAGTGGACAGCTGGAGCTGTGTCTCAGGAGGGTTTGTTGTGTTGCCCCATTTCCCTCCTGCCATCTTTCTCACTTTGGCAAATCATATCACCTCACTGTGTCTCAGATTTTCCTCACATATAAAACAGGAACCCTCACCTCCATCCGAGGAACTTGGGGAATTAATTAAAGCCTACTCTGGCATGAGATTAATGCCCATTGTACAAGGAATTGTTAAGACCTTATCTGGTGTGCAGTTCAGTTATCCATTTAGAAGATGGATGACTGCAAACTGGAACAGGTGCAGAGAAGAGCTATTAGGAGAAGTCACTGAAAAGATTACGGGAGGATGGTCATCCTTAGGAGGAGAGAGGCAAAAAGCCATTCTTATATGGCTTAGCAGGAAAAGAAGGCTGAGATGGATAGATTATTCTCAATAAATAGGCTAAGAAAAGGGAGAGGTGTCCAACAAAGGACGATAATCTGACTATGAATTAAAAGGTGTGGGAAAATGTGATTCTGGTACAGTCCTGCAACAGGAGCAGTGAGGGCAAACAGTGAGAATAATTGTTTTAAAATGAAGGCCATGTGTGTCTCAAAGTCATTATATAGTACTTGTGTGTTTGTGTGTGTGTTCAGGGCAAATCACAGTCTAGATATAGCAAACAAAGAATCAAATAAATAGCAGAGTGAATAAAATGTATTTCCTTTAAATAGGGCTTCTATTTGCTTTTTAAGCAGGACTTCTATTTGATTTAAGTACAGGTTTCTTTAAAAAATGAACTCTTAAGTTTCAAATCATGATACTGTATTACTACCTAAACTTACTATTACCAGTTAGATTAAGTAAAAAGAATATTAATGTGGTATTGGATTGCTGCCAAAGTCTTACCATTAAACTGCTGAAAGTAGTAGAAAACACTGCCCAAACACCTGAAACTGGAATTAGCCATGTAAACCAGCTTTTGACAGCAGGAGCTTTTCCATGTCCTCAGTCAGCTCAATTCAGTGACAGCACATTCAGAACTGGGAGGCAATCTGGGAGATGCAAATCCATAAAGTTTGGTTTCTTCTGATATACAAGCAAATCTTGGAGTAAGCTGCTGAGGTCTAACACTTGTAGAATCCCCAGTGTTGTTCCCATCACCACAGCCAGCTTTCATTCAGGAAATGCAAATAATCCTTTAATTATCTAAGAAAAGATGTAATTTGAAATATAAAATAAGTTTGGCTAAGATAGCTTTCTTTCTTACATGTCCCAAATATTTAAGGTTGTTTAATGAAACTGTATGAAAACATAATGATATGGATATTTTAATTGAATTTCAGTTTCTAACTAAACGCAGTTGGACCCAAAATGACTTGCTTTGTAAATAAGAAATGTGTCATTCATCACTTTCTAATCTAATCAGAATTAAGTGACTAAATGTATGTTAGCTATATAAGTGCTTAAATAAATTTGCAGGTATATCCTCAGGTTAACAAAAAGGAGTAGTAAATTTAGGACAAAGTCTATGCCTACCTGCATTTCAGTGTGTTTTAAAATGGACCTAACTGATGAGAATCAAACTTCTTTCTCTTCTATTTTTGTAATGGAAAAGAAGGAGTATAGAAGTAAAATGAGTTTAAAATAAATAATTTCAATTAAAATATTCTGCTTGATGGTATAAATATGAATTAAAGTCTCTTAGATCAGGGGTTTAAAGACTACACAGTCCTACTTTTATTAAAAGTAACCTTTTATTGTGTAGTTTTACAATATTAAAGCAAACATTCTCAGTAGTCTGTCTTAGGGATGAAAGAAATGTAATTACTAAATTGCAAAATAGTTTTAACAAGTCATTTTACACTTAACTGCAAAGGGATGTTTATTCACAACAGTCTGTAGTCTGTACTTGTGAGGGCAGTAAAGGAAGGTGCCATGCAGAGTTCTAGCTGAAAAAAAAACCCCTAAAAATGATTAGAGAGCTTTTACATTTAAAACTCTTCCCTTACACTTGTAACTGTCTTTTTTACCTTTTTAAAAAAAAAAAAAAAACAAACAAACCACAGGCTGTGTATTTCTCCATGGGATAGGACGGTAGCTTATATTCTCTTACCCTCCAGCTCTCTAGATTGGTTTTGCATCAAGGTCCTACTCCATTAAACTGTTCTACATTAGCTGGATTTGCCTGGGTTTTGGTAGACTCTTTCTTTTATTAAACAGCAGCCTGCTGTCTGCTCATGGATGTTTTGATACGCTTTCCATTTAGGAACAGTTTGGCTCATAAAACACATGCCAGCTGCATTCCCTCCCCTCTTTATTTCTAATAAATTTACATAAAACATTTTCTAATACGCAGGAAGGATTATGTACAATCACACCACTGAAGTATGATGGGCTTGGGAGATTTTTAGTATATTGACTCCCCCCATGTTCTCCTGATTAGGACCTTTCAGCATATTAATCAGTGCTCCCAAACCATCCCTTCTCTTACTCCTCCACCTCTTAAAAAAAGCCTTACGAAATATCTACCAGGTACAGTTTGCCACTTGCTGTTGGTGCCTCACCCATTGCAAGAGCCTAGACGCCTTGGATTGCTAAATTACTCTCTCTTAAAGTCTCTAGTTTGTACTGACTTTACTGCCTGTGTGGGTCTCAATGTTTGGGGAACAGAAATTTTGTGTACTTTTACAGGATGACTTCCCAGAGCTATGTGAGATGGCTAAAACAGTGCTGCTGGGCTGAGAAACAGCCGATGGTGGTTTGCTGGGGATGTACAGTCTGAAAAGGAAGGAGAAGTGAGAAGGGCTAACACGCTTGGTGTACTCAGCAGCCCTTCAGCTGCCTGTGATCTTCAGTACACTTCCTAAAGTAAAAATTGAAGTTGCATCTCATATTTCAACTTGAAGAATTGTGGGGTTTAGTAATAAACAGCTAAGAACCAGGAGTCTGAGAGTTCAGCGTTGTATACCTGGTTCTGTCACAAGTTTCATTCCTGGCTCTGGGCAAGGTGTTTGCATCTTGGATTTCACTCCTGAAATGTAAAAACAAAGTCCTTTGTGTTTGCATTTCTCCTGCTACTATGATCTTGTACTAGCACCAATCATTATTTCAAAGTATATTATAATAGCACCTGAAGCAGCTGGGTTTGTTTTATTGTGGCCCAATAATGCTTCTTTATCTCTTTTACAGCTCGAGTTCCTAAAAAAATCCTGAAATGCAAAGCAGTGTCTCGGGAGTTAAACTTTTCCTCAGCAGAACAAATGGAAAAATTCCGACTGGAACAGAAAGTTTATTTCAAAGGGCAGTGTCTAGAAGGTACACATCTGGTCTGTGTGCAGCACTGCTACAGCGCAGGGAGTGACCCCCAGCGCGGTGGGGATTAGAGAAACTAAAATGGGTTGAACATGGTGATTTTAATTTTTCAGAGTAGCACTGAAGCACTCATCTTGTCAGGACTAATGGGCCACAGTATTAGCAATAGCATTTCATAAGTGTATTAACACTTCATTATGTAAGCAAAAAATCTGGGTAATCGTGCCTCAGGGCATAAATGCACCGCAGGCTGCCTGAGGCAAGGAAATGGGTTGTTTTAGAGTCACCCATTACGGGCATTCATGCATCTTCCTCAGAAGCACCTAGTGCTGGCCATCATCAGACGGAAGGCTGGACAAAAGGAGCCTCTGGTTTACTTTGGTTACAGCAGTGCCACCGCGTTGTCCGTGTGACTCCATAGTTGCACATCTGATCTTCCTCACTGCAGTATTACTCTTAATCTGGGGCAGAGGAGGGGGGAGATAAAACATTGAGCTCCTTGTCTTTTGGGCAACCCGTTGTACACTTAGTCTGAACTGAATCCGGGGGATGTCTGCAAGAGGGGGAGTGTGGTTTCCCTGTTCCCAATTAGGTGTGATGAAATTTCCACTGAACGCTAAGGAAGTGGGTGACTTTATCATTACCATCAGCTATTTTAGAAAGGGAGTATCTGCTTCAAGAGGAGGGCAGGGTTCAGTGCAGTTTAAGCTGTACAAAATAATTTAAATGTAAAATGTTGGCAGGGCAGTTTAGGGAGTTCCCCAGCCTGTCAGGTGAAAAGCAAAAGGGCCATTTGTGGATTTTATCTTCTTTCAAATGCCTCTGGATCTTCTTTTTACTTTGCAGAATGGTTCTTTGAATTCGGTTTTGTGATTCCTAACTCCACAAACACTTGGCAGTCCTTGATAGAGGCAGCACCTGAATCACAGATGATGCCAGCTAACGTTTTAACGTGAGTGCCTTGGGCTTATAGAATCTGAGAGCAGGCAAAGAAAAAGCAGTGTGTGGCATTTCCTTGGGGGCCACAGTGGGAATGAAGAGAGGGAGCTGCTACCAACTCTGAATCACCCTCGCTACAGTTAGCTGTTGAGAGATAAAAGGGGCTAAGCCAACCTCATTACCTTCTTTCCCATAGGTCCAATTTGCATTAATATAGCAATAAAAGTTTGGAGAAAGTGGAACTGATACTTTATTAGAGTTGCTTAATTTTTGTGAAGGGTGAACCATGAAAGGATTTTAAAATGCTTTGCAGCTTAATATCCCTGCATCCGGGGTGTGGGGGGGGAAGGAGATATTTGGGCCATTTTCAAATGCAGCTATTGATCACGACTCTTGTCCAGGTTGGTTTTCATGCAATGTATCACCCGTAGACCCGTAGAAACTGCTCTAGTGTTTGTTTCATCACTGTACCATTTGCCAAGCTTTGTGTCTTTTACATTGGATTATAAACTATACATTTAGTCATATGGAGTTGTATCTGGGGATAAAATATCCTTAATGGGTAGAAAACAGTCATTTTACAGTCACTTATAATGGCATTCACATACCTTTCTCCAAAACATCTAGTCCTGGCCACTGTTTGCCCATTGACTTCTGAATAGGTCAGCGATCTCTGAGACTTGTGTCAGAATAACACACGCTGGGCCTTGCGCTGAGTGTGGACAGCAAGGCACGAGCTGTGGTGGGATGACGGAAAAGGCTCCTTGAGGGGGACTCCTGGGAAGCTGGAATCACTGACAAAGAGCCACCCTCCCTGCAGCGCTAGAGGGGTGCTGGCAAGCACACGAGGAGCATGTTGCCAGCAGAGACAGAAGAGTGCAGGAATCCTCCTGCCAGCAAGAGGCAGACAGGGAGCAGCCAGTCTCGCTGCAAGGTCACTGTGTCCTCTGGAAGACCTCCCTCTCCAGCGTGTTCCCTGTCTGGAGGAAAGCCAGTCACATAGAGAAGGCATCAGGGTGGAAACTACCATCACTGATTTCTATTCACAGCATGTTTCAAAGAGAGAGCGGACTCAGAAGAGAGCATCAGTGTTGGGAATAGCATTCCCTGGCATGATCTGCTCAGAGCCTCGTAGGTGCTACACACGTCCTCGGCTCCCAGAACTGGTGGCTTTCAGTCAGTACAGGAGGAGCCAGATTTGGGAATCAGAGTAAAGAAACAAAGACAAGTTGATTTTGACCATCTCAGGAAATCAAGGCATTTTCAGGACTGGAAGTTGTGAGTCCAGTCCTCAAGTGACCTTGAGGATTTTCCAGTGTTCCATTTTTTCCCTGGAGTCTGTCCACTTGTAGTGGTCAGCCCAAATCCCTCCCCTATTCATGGAGGTGTCCTACAGTCATTCTTGAGGCTTTTCAGTAGACTCACCAGCCCAAAGAAATCAGCTTTTTTCAGCTGCCAAGACTTGGAGAGCCCTTCATTTTCTGATATTCCCAAAGACCTCATGTTTGTCTCGGTGTTTCTATAGCAGGAGAAAATTGAGATGTGGTATTTGGTGCTATACAAGGCACTCTGTGCAGAGGATTCCCAGGATGACTGAATATCAGACTGAGGACGTTCCCTGACATTTGAGTTCAAGCATTGTCCGTGCCACAGCACAAACCTAATGCTCTTGCCGGGTTCAGCTTTGCCAGTGTTACAGATACCAAGAGCCACAGCGGAGATGGAACTGCTGCTTTGATTTGCAAGAGCCACATTATTTAGGCACAGTCAGATCACACTGCTGAGTTGTCCAAGTCTTGTAATAGCCCCAAAGTTCTTACTTTTGTCTACCGAAATCTCAAAGTCAGGAACTTAAATCATCCGAGCTTTCGTCACACCCAAGTCTACATTTCCATTGCAGTTTATATAAAATATGCTTGTGTGTTTGCATTTAAGCCCTTCTTGAGGGAAAGGACACGTTACGTTGGTTGAAGTAGCTTGCTCAGCAGTAGAGGACAGAGGTGGGGAATAAAAAAAGAATTCCCGTCGGTTTTCAGAATTCACCATAAGAGAGAGGGGCCTGAAGATGCTGGGACTGCTAGTTTATTTTTAGCAATAGAAGCAAGCAGAAGTTTGCTGCTTGTGAGCACTCTGCAGCCTGTGTGGTACTGAGCCCAGGAAGGGGCGACAAGGGAGGGGTGGGGGGAACTGCTCCCCGTAGGAATGCAGCGGGGAGACCCTTCAGCCCTGGTGGCCACGCATCAGGGGACAGTGCTCATCGCACGCAGCTCCAAACCAGAGCTCGTGTTGTGGGAGGGGTAAGGTCTCAGCCCAGGCTTGTGAGAGCATTGAGGGGAGCAGTCATTTTCTACTGTTCATGCATTCTTCTAACACCTCTTTTTTCTCCTCTTTTCCTTCTGCAGTGGTAATGTTATTATAGAAACCAAATTCTATGATGACGACCTTCTCGTAAGCACTTCCAGAGTGAGACTTTTCTACGTTTGAGATGGGGCTTTTTGGAGCTGTTTTAGTTTTCCTCCATACAGTTCTTGGTGCAGAACCCCCCGACTATCCAGTGGAAGACACTCCTGTAGGCGGTGACCCTGGGGACCAGCTCAACATGGGTTGTGACCTTTGCCCATCAGTTATTTTGCTTTCTCCTCTGACAAGACCAGACCAAACCCTTAGAGACAGGACCGTCTGCTCAGCGATGCACTGGGGAATAGAGGCTGTCTCTGAACACGGGCAAACGATGGTCATGCAGAACCAATACTGTAAATTATGTTAGTCACATCCTTTGTACTTCTCTGGATCCTGGTATAATCTCCCATTTCCACTGACACCAAACTCGATGCGTTTCATTTTTGAGGGATTAAGTTAACCCGTTCGTTTTTCTCATGTTGTAGGTTTTTATCCTTTCAATGGATTTCTGTGTAACTGGTCCACAGGTCCTCTTACCCTGAACTTGTAAAATAGACTGTGATATCACCTAGTGTAATTAAAACAAATTTATCAATTAAAACATTCCTACCGTCCAAAGAAGGGAAGAAATATTAGTTCTGTGTGTTTTCCTTTCTGTTATAAAACTGCCTCGCAATGGGCACAAACTCCTGTCACTCACCAGCAGCAGGACAGGGCTTTCCACAGCCCTACTTCTTCACAGCCCCCATAACCTCGTTGAATTCCTCGTCCTCCAGCTGACAGCATCAGGAAGGTTTCCTGACTGCTGTGACCCAGGTTTCTCCTCGGCTCCTTTCTGTCCGTTAATCCCTCAGGGCAGTTTGTCCTGTTTGCCCAGTTGATTTCTTGAGCAGCACTGCACGCTGTTCTGCTTTTCTAAGTTCCTGGGGATGCTCAACCCCGTTCTGGAAAAACCTGTGTTCCCCTGAGCCTACCAGCTCAGAACTGCGCTAGGCTGAGCTCCCTGAGGCTCAGCTGGGCTGCGGTTGCTGATACCAACAATCCCCGTGCGTGCGCAGCTTTAGGGAGTCATGGCGGCAATTTTGCTACGACAGGCTTCTCAAGCCCTGCTGCTGTTTCTCCTGGTTGTGTACAATTAGCTCAAGTATGCGTGAGTCTTGGGAAGGAGGCATCTCCAGCTTCTGCTCTTAAACATCACGGACAGCTTTATGATCACTTGATACCTCGGTCAGCCTGTCCTGTGGCTCGGCTTGAGGTTCTCCGGAGAGTCACAGGGATGTGAAACACATCATTCCCGATCCTGAATTCAGCCACTGGGTGTATGTGGGAGAGATATAGCATAATTTTTTTTTAGGTGAATTGAAGTTAGACCATTAAGAGGAGAGCATTATCCATTGTAGAAGGTTTCTCATGAGACCTCGCCGATGGACTTGCAGGGCAGTTTTGTCCCAGCAGCGTGACCCTAGGCCAGGCTTTATACAAAGACATCAACCAAAACTGCCTCCTGCACCCAGCATGAATGACACCCCGTGATGGTGGTATCCCTGTCAAAGAGCAGAGACAAAAGGTATCCAAAAAGGAAAAAAAAAAAAAAAAAAAAGTTAAGGGTCTTGAGAGCCTGTAGCTCTGTGTTCCAGGACAGATGCTCTGCCAGACACACACGGGAGGTGTCTCCTTTTGCCAAGCTGAGCTACAACCCGGCCCGGCAGCCCTGGCACAGGGATGCTCCCACTGGGACTGGATCTCACCTGGTGCCTTTGTATTTAACGGCAAGAAGCTTTGATGATTCTCGCACCCACTTCACCTGACTGGCGAGGAAGGCGCCCCGGGGATGCCCTCCCTGGAGAGCCACAGGCTGAAGACCTCCGTAGGGGTTTAGGCGGCCACCGACACGCGTGGCTGCGGCTCCCGCGGGGTGAGCTGCCCTGGGAGAGGGTCCTGGGAGGGATGTGGGTCCTAAGACGGCCCGAGGGGACACTCCGGAGCCCCTTCGCTTCCCGCCCGCCTGGCCCGGGCTGCCCCAGTTCGCCCAGCAGCGGCTCTGCGGCGGGTCATTGCCGCCCTCCAGTGGCTCCGTGGGAAATAGCTGGCTGCTTACCCGCGCCCGTCCCTGCACCAGCCTCTCCCAGTGCCCCCCAGCATCCCCCAGTGCGGGGCTCAGCCTTCCTTAAAGAGCCGATGGAGCAAACGCCGGGGCCGGGGGGCGAGCCCGGGGCCGGATCCAGCCGGTGGAAAGAACCCGGTAGGGCGGGAGGGGACAGCGTGATCCAACCCAAACCAAAATCCCAGCGAAGG